ACTCCTAGGTAGCCCTGATAATGAAACCAATGGCCCTCAGAAGTTGATATTATCCTCTTCCAGTCACAACTTAAATGTTACAGAAGAATCCATCACCAAAGCATACCGAAATATAACACTCATAACGGAAAATCCACTAAATTCTCAAAATCCATCTAAGAAAAATCCACACTGGCAGGGAAATAATGCACAAATTATATGATCAGCCACACTGATAACGGAAATAAGGCTGAAATCTTCACAGAAAACAGCGAAATCAAGTACTCGCACAATATACCAAGTCGCATTATAGCCCACACTCACAAGCGGTGTAGCGACACAGCCACTCTTAATGGTACGAGGAAAATACGCAGATCTGAGTCACCAGCCACTCCAGGTCTTCAGAATATGGCACACGAACGAACTTTGATGGAAAATGAGGTACGGATTGGTCAGGAATTAATCCACAATGCAGGAATACATACAATAAGACCCACGTAAGGACGCAACCAGTGCCTTCAAGCAATAGGCTGAATAACAAGCTATCGGAATCATAAGGTACCAATAATTTTTGTCAGCCAAATATCTGTCAGCATTGACCAAACAGCTGATGAAGATGTTGGCTCTTCTCGGACGGAACAACTAGTGTAACAACAGAAGACAAGGGCCAGGCAACAGATCGTTTTATTATGAAAATCAACACGTATTTATGCATATTTCACATACATTATTATAGCTTATGCAAGTAGACAAGCGCAGTCATCTGATTGGTTGTTTATCAGAAGTTAGGCAGACAAACGCAGGCTTCTGATTGGTTGTTTCGGGATTCCTTGACAAATAGAGTTCTCTATCTGCGAATCATATTTTGCCACGTTAACTTTGCTGTGATTGGTTGTTGACTCAGCCTTGTTCATATTTTCTCACGGCCCATATTAACGTAGCTTAGTGTCAACCAATCGGCTAACAGCCTGCTCTCACCACACTAGGACTGTCTACCTCCTGGGAAGAAAACAGGCACAGTCTAACGCACACATCTATCAGACACATCCAACACATGAACAAGCGTAGGCCAAATAAAAACCGGCGTCGATTTCTCCAGCCAAACATGAAATAAAACTAACTTATAATATGGCGATTCCAATAATGCAACTCATTATTCACCAAAAGGAGCAGATAACAGCTCGATGGTCATACGTGAACATGACGCTGATACTTCTTGACTTGCAGGGTCGTCGAACCACGCAGAACCAGTCGATGTGACGCTTCAATCCGCCAAACCATCTAGACTTCAAAGTGTTGTCGACTAAGGACCAGGGTGCACTTGTGACCTAATATTTTCTGAACAAGTCATATTGTCAACTCGAAAATCGGGGATGCTTTTAAGATGCTACTCACCGTGAAGCTACATGCGTGCCATACAACACATGTGTCAGATCATCATTAGAATACTGGTGACTTATGTTTAGTAGCACTAGCATATGTGACAGACTGAGAGACATTTCATGTCCAAACTTCTTGGACATGATTTCATACCTCTAAATCTTGACCCTCTCAGGACGGGAGGACCTACTATAAACTTAATATTCTGTTTTATGGTCTTGCCTAAGATATCATGCTTAGATAGTATGGATATGCAGATCTCACCGGAGGCTGTTACGATTTGCATGACTAAACGCTCAGCTAAAAGGCCTTCACAGTCATGTATCATAGAATATGGAACAGTTTACCAGTAAAAATTAGGATCCGCGACAGTGTCATAAGGTTCAGTCTCTCTTTAAAAAGGCTGCTACGCTGTAATGAATACGCAAACAAAAAATGTACTGTCTGTTTCAAAAACCAATCAAATACCAGGACAATAAATGTCTGAAGAACGCGTAAAACTTCATAAGTTACTCTGCATAAACGAAAAAGAGACTAGCTGTATATGAAAAGACAAAGAGAATGTCGGTATACTTGTTTATTAGACAGCAGTGTATGTAGGATTAGCTTCGCCTACAGATTTAGTCCCTCCTCAGTACTGACGATAAAGTGTCCTAGCTTAACTATGGTTAAAAACAGAGTAACTTGACTTAAACTTTATCTGTTCTCAAAACATAAAATAAAGCATACGATTACACCGAGAAAAGCACAAAATCCATTGTCACTCAAGAAAAGACAAAGACGTACCGAACAGTATTGAAGGAACGGACAAAATGAACAGTTAATTAATTACATATACGTACAATAGAGACAGGAAATAAAGAACATTCAAGGTTACATCACGTGGTGAGGGTTACATTAAATTAGCCAATAATCGCGATAAAATGGTCACATAATATCGATTAGCTGTCTGTCAAACTGTCTATCTATCCATCTATCTATCGCGATTAACAGTGTACAATTAATACAAATATGTACGTATAAACACTAGGATTCTACTTATTTCTACATGCTTTGTCTTTTTCTGGTACTTTGATGCTTGTCTCTTCTTTTCCGCTCGCCCTTCAGTGGAAGTCGCCCGGACGTACAATGGGGCTGAGGTTAATCAGAACTTGATGCCACTTACGTAAATGCACCACATCAGTCTTCAAGTTGTAGACTCATTATCACTCAACTTCCTTTAAAGCTCCCGGTCTAAGATTTAAGACTTTGAATAAAATTCTGTGGGAGCAGTATTCATGACTTTGCATGAAGACAACTGGCTTTCAAACTGTTTTGTACGCCTTGGTTCCATCCTATTGTATTATACTGATGACACTAATATTATTTCCAAATGTACTTTTTTCTTTTCTGCTTCACACAAGTTTCATATGGCTTTTAATGAAATGTATAACCAGTTTTTATTCATGTATGTACTAGGAGCAAGAAAGTTATGTGAGCACCTCGATAAGGTTATGAGCAACGAATTGTGCTTGATACGTTTTTATCAAACATCACTGTATAGCACTGTATGGAATTATACTCTACCACAGTGCCAAAGTTTTATCCTTGTGTCAATTAGTCAACTTACGTCTATAGGCTACAATGAAGCTACAAATGAGGGTGACAGCCAACCTTGGAGGATAATCAGCTATTTGATTCAGTACGAAAATTTGATAAGGCTTTGTGTGGTTTTTATCCGCATGAAATTGAATTCACTCTTGTTACTATCGTAGGCGCAATGGAGACGCGCCGCTGAAGCCCCATGTTCCTCTAGGAATTAAAAGATATAATAATAATACTATCGTACGATGACACTGCTGAGAAAATGGTGCCAACATATTGCTCATTTTGGGTTAATCACCCATCGGACTATAAATCAAGGGTAAGATACAATACCTTACATAGCGAAGTTAAATGGGGGGGGTTGATTCCAGACCTTATTTTTCCGAGGCATTTGTTTTCCTTCCAGAGTGATATAGGGTTTTCTTTCAGACAGCATTTCTATATTTTCTCAATGAACTACATTGACTTACTAGCTGGTGGACTGTTCTAACTGACTAAAGTCAAAAGTAACAGCAACTACTTGAATTCACCGCAAACCATACCTTTAGAAATGTTCCTGCGTAGACAGAGGTAAATATATTATCGTGGACAAATTGTTATTTGACGAAGAAATGGCTGAGATCTTGTACAAAAATGAGAATATATATTATTATTATCTTACTGAATGAACGAACTTCTTTGATCTCCCGCTACTTCTCTGGAGTCGTCAAACGATAGTCACCACCACACGGAATACCAGCTATGGTTTTGTCGCAAGAAATTTGTATGTTACGCTGAAATTGAACTAAACGTTGTACTCCAATCTTCAGACAAGGCAGATTCAGGCAGGTCAGTGGGATCCCACAGAATCCATTAAGGGCTTCTAAAGGAAGTGAGGGTTGCCTGCTAAGTGACTATCTAACACAATAGGAGAGTCAACCCTTAAACAGTATGGTGCAGTAGTAGCAAGAAACAACAAGAGGAGAAGGAAGGACTAGTACATGTTCACACTGCAAACAGATTTAAAAAGTTTGGTAGGTTCCTTAAAGGAATGAGTGCCTTTCATCAACGTCGTGAAGTAACCATCTATGTCCATTGGCCAAGTAAATTTCTGCATTTTCGATGTAGAGTTAACGTCACCCTCTAAATTTTAGACCTACACTGATCTGGGCATTAAAATTTAATAACTGATGCTAACTGTTACTTCTCTGTAGCTCTGAGATATGTTTATATTTATGAGAAATGTGGGACATATTTTTAGAATCCCTAACAGTATGTTCAATGTATATGCATCTCATAAACAGCGCAAATCGCATCTGGGCAGCTAACCAGAAAGAAAAACTAATAAGTACTCAATATTGTTTAAGGGACGGTCAAAGACGTGGTTCTTGCGATGAGTGATATATAAACAGACCGAATTTTATCTGCTTACCATACAGTAACAAGACAGTGGATCTGATCACAATGTTCGAAAGATTATGGGAATTGCCGTGGACACGATGAACCTTCCTTTTTCCTCAATATCACATTGAGGCGTCCCAAAAGACAATGCAGAAGCGTCCTAAACCCATGTAAGAGGTGTCTTACTTTGAAATCCTGGTTCTTCTACAGAGGTTTCAGTAATTGTATACGCCCCTCAGAAGTAACGGTGTGTATTCGCCTCATCCAGGAAGGGATCAAGTAATCAGAGATGCGCCGAAGAAAAGCATTAATACAGGCCATTTTCTCTAATTCAAGCTTCCAGTGGCGTCTATTAAAGCATCAGGTACACCGGAAAATTATCCGGTAGAACACTGTGTTCGGGACCCAAAAGTTTGAGTTGTCTAAGAGTGTAATACACGCAACATTTTCGAAAATCGGGAAGAATCGAGGGATTTTCCCTGGCATTTTCATGCAAAGACAGTGCTGTAAAGCAAAAGTTCGTCAAAACCGTTTGATGTAATCCAAATGTGCCTGGAACCCTATAAAGTTCGTGAAGTGTCTTCAGCGAGCCAGAATTCACCTCGCATGTTTCTCTCTTAAGCTAGTTTAGGGGAAATAAAAGTAGCATGATAATGACTCAGAACAGGCACAGATAGCTCATTTTATCTGTGTGCATCAAAGTCAAACAATCATTTTAATCAATACATTGAACACTTAAATACGCAGTACTGCCTAATACATTAACTACCCGCCAAAGGCAATTTTAATCTGTGATGAGTTCTTTGACAGAGGACCGTCGCCGGTGTAGAAAGTCGGCTCCTGTTAAAAATGCAGTGTTTTTGGGAGCCATCAACAAAGGCCGTTCGCGCATCAACCCTCTGACGGGCCAAAAGTAACAAAATTTTTGTGAATTTCAATTAGTTTGAAGTCAACTAGATAACAGTGAATTGATCGTCAACGACCAGAGCAACAAACTTAAGTTAGATAGTGCTCATAAATTTAAAAATGAAAGGAGAAGTCGACCATCTATTCAAGGGGTCGACACAACGGCATCTGTACGGATGTCTACACCTGTGCGGAATCGCGAAACCACACCAAAATATAGAACCCGACACAGATCAAACGAACAAAGCTGTGATAACAACAGGTCACGCAGTATCTTATCTTCGGTATGTGTATGATTAATTTGACCCTCGTCAGACTGGAAGCCGTAGGAGGTTTCATCCTGATTATGACCCACTGATTGAGATCAGACGTGCACAAGAACGTCTCGATCGTTATCGAACCCAAGGAGACTGGAAGGTGGATCTGCTCTTGTGTGATGATGCGGATGAAGACTTGAACCGCTATGAAGACAAATTGAGACGCAGACTCACAGAAAGGGTAACCTTCCACTGTATTCATAATTAATATGAGGTACTCGACCTTTGTTTCTACTTAGTATTTAAGCTACTTGACTACAGTACCTAGACTGATAGTATTACTTTTCGCATAAGTTTAAGTGCTCTAGTGCAGTAAATTTAACAGTAATTGTCTTTTTTAGAGGACTACCTTCACCTAATATGTTCAGGTATTGTTTCATGTCCATACTGTTACTTTTCGCACCGAGTAGAACTACTTGTGCAGGAAATTGCTGTGATTATTAGGACATGTGATTAGTCATATCGAAGAGCACATACTAGAACTCATTTTTAACTGATAACTCGTTCTGTGCAGGATTTCCAATAGTGGGCGTAAGACACTAATCTTAACATTACCGTTCCCTGTGTCTAAGTGATTTGATCTTATTCGCAGTATTCAGGAAGCTGATGTTCCGCAGAAGTATGCGTATATGATCATTCCGTGACCATACGTACGTGATCAGCCTACGTTGATAATCAAATTCATTAGTTTATGTATTCCCCGTAAGAAGCCCTTCACTTCATGATAAGTGGAGGACGGTTAGTTGATCTTTCGGATTCCTTTCCAGCTTCTTAGGAGTCCAATTATGATCATTTACTGTCGATACCAAGCTGTTATATGGTCGCGCGTAGACGCTACCTCTAAAGGTGTTTTATCACTGCTTGACACGCGTTCTTATTCTTGTTGGATCCCCACTGTGGTGATCCTGGGGAGTGATAAGACGTAAAGCTGCTTATGGTACATGGTTTGGTATAGTTGCGGAAATTCGCGTTTCACTTACTAAAGAATTTGAATGTTCTCTGTCTTGTAGATAAAGGATACTTGTGGCATTGATGTGTGTGTTATTTATACTTTTGTTTGGCTAGCAAATTAGCCATGATTTTTAACAGTGATTCACCTACAGAAGTTTGCTCAGGTAACTATTATCAACTTTGCAGTAGCTGTAGATGAGTAACCTTATTCCAGTAAGAGATGGATTCTGGGTACTTAAGGTAATGCATTGCATTGAGTTGGAATATGAGGTTGTTTAGAGTACTAAAAGAAATGGGTTGTGGATGTACCGATTAGGTCCTTAGGACTCTATCCAGAGTTTCAATTTTCTCTGGTGTGTTTTGTAGGCGTAACGGTGCATGCTTCAGTTTGTTTAATGCAGTAGTTTCATAACCCCTTGGAATTAGTAACTTACTTAAGTTTGGAAAGGCTCCATATTTTCCATTTGGATCAAAATAATACCTAGGAATAGGATTCAATGTATTGCATAACGTTGGTATGTCCGGTAACAATTGATTGTTACTAGGGCTTCAGTTGTTCTGTCGCTGAAAGTACTGGGCAAGCGAAAGAGTAGACAAAAGTCTGTGCACCGTCTACTACATTTTATCATAATACATAACGCAGAACTAATTCATGAAAAGTAGAGTTGAATTACCTGGACTTTCACATCACTGGATGTATTCACTTAGAACACTTATAAATTCGAGTATATATGTGTATTGCACGTGGTATTGTTAGAAGTGCTAGATGGTAGATATTTAGTACTATTAATTTCATTGTGAAGTGCAATACTTTGTTTCACTGAAAACTGATGTGAATGGCTTGTAAGGTTCATAGTTGATTGACTTACCTCTCAGACATTTATATCGATCGGTTCGTATATTGTGTGGTTTCATTAGTTTGTTTTCGTAACAATCTTCTGGAGTCATTATTTTTTTCATTCAGGGGAAACAGAACCTATTGAACTTGAAAGGAGGCAGATGGAATTACTGAGGAGACAGAAAGACATTGATATGGGCAAAGTGACCGAACGTTACGCTGAGTATGTGTTAAGTATCCCGAAACCCGAACGTCAAAAGTACCATCCTCGTACACCTAACAAGTTTCGTAAAGTTTCTCGTCGAGCGTGGGATGGCATGATTCGGAAGTGGCGCAAGCACTTACACAACTTCGACGATCTCAAGTGGGTTTGCTTTATAACTTAACTAGGTTCTCCTTTGTAAAATGTCTTCATTCAACTTAAGTTCGAAAAATGCACTTCATAAGTTGGTCTCCTTATCCAGTTTCTTTGTCTTGGAAACCTCGGGGTGGAGTAAACATATTCTGTCTGTCTGTCTGGATTCAACATAGAACTTGGCACCGAAGTGCAGCTGTTCGAGTTGCCACGTTCCGAATAGCACACAAAAGTAGACAAGAGGATGAGTGAAGAGAATCAATAGAGTTTGACAAGTATACGAGTGAAACAGAATGGGTAATGGTAGAAATGAATATGTAAGATTACAGAGACTGAATACATCTGCGCCATTGACAACGATTTTGAGCCATGTCACGTATTGTCTCCAGCCATTGATTCTTAGAATCCCGAGGGCCCCAACCTGGAAGTCTGCATCTCCCTACCTGACTCAGTTTAACTGTCAAGGATTTCATGGATTGATGAGGTCATGTTTTTGTTTGGCCACCACTTACTCTTTTCCAACCTGCACCTATATCAGCTAGTAATGCACGTCGGGGAGGCGATGGTTAGGCATATTCACAATGCATCATTACTTTATTGAGTAACTGAGCTGGGTACATAAATCTTTAGATAGTTCTTGATATGTATCACTTTGGGTTGCGTTACATTACTGCGTGTTTGTCATTAATAACTATATGGTCCCTACTTACCGAGACTTTATTGGTTTTCTTGATTTTTATTATTATATATGTTCTTACATTTATGATAATATTTTAAGTTCGAGTTTATTATGTCATCATAAACCATAAATGCTCTGATTCTGTTTCAATGATGTATTTGTTTTGCGGGCCACTACCAGCCACTGGTGAGCCTAGTTTATTTATCTTGCATGGGACTATATTTGTCTGTTCGAAGCATTTGTTTGAGCCTACATTATAGATTTTAAGTACCTGAACGCATGAGATTCTGTTTGCATTTTCGATGAAAAATTTTGACAAAAGTGTTTCTGTTTCGTGTTTCCGAGGGTTAATTTTTGCAGACAAGATTACTCTTAAGCAAGACCATTTTTTGTATGCTTAATTACATTAGGAGGATTATACTATCTTCAGCTGCTTACTAAAATTTTAACACCAATGTTTTCTATTCACGAGAATGTTCGGGCGTAGAGGGTTGTTTTGCGACACAAAATACTTCGCATCAAATTTATTGGTTTGTTTTAAAGGTCAAGTTTCATTGTTCTTATGCTAGTTACAAGTGCTTTTACCCGCTTCAGTAACTCATGCAATAGGCGCTTTCATGAGAGAGAATTGAATTATGTTGTCACTTTTCATTGTAGTAGAGCGGTCCCAGCATTCCATGTTAGTGCAAATGTTTCTGGTATGCTTCACGGATTGAAAAATCTATGAAGATATTTAGGAAAATATTCAAGGTTTACCAATTTCCTACCGACATTCCAACATGTTGTTGGCATGATGAACTGAGATTACCTTAATCTGTGTAGAATTTTATTTATTGATAACGTACTAACTGGATGCAATACTGTAGTAAAATGCTGAGAATTCCATTCTGTATCACAAGTGCTGTTTTGGAATAAAGCAAATTATTATTATTATTTTTTGGATATTAGTTGTCTAAATGAAGTCACTTGCCGAAATCTTTAGTTCTAAAGAAGTGCCCACATTTTGAACCTCTTATTTTGTCAATGTTTTGGTCGACAGTTATTCAAATTATGCAGTGAAACAAATCCAAGACTCAAATACACAAACGACTGAAATGTGATATATGCCGTATCAATGACAGGATGTTCACTTACTGTAGCAATAAGGATTGGTCAAAGACTAGTCCTCTTTACTATAGTTCTATTCCACAAAGCGATTTTACTGGTGAGGTTATTATGCTGATGCCCCTTGACGTTACTGTTTGTAACCACCATTTAACGTAGCGTGGTGTAACATAGTTGGTGATTATTATAGTTAAGCACTCGACTTATCATGGGTTTTAAATCCACCAAAATTTTAAGGTATTATCAGTGAAGTAATAGCATAACCGACGTTGACACTATAAACGTGACTCGTTTCATCCTACATTAACACGCATATGTTTACTGGGTTTCATTTTAGTCTAATTTTTGTTTATCATCACTATCAGTTACTGGTACACATTAATGAATATTTCCTAAGCTGGGAAAGATTTACTACTGTTTGCATAATTATTGTATTCATTCCTCTGCAGCTGCTTACAGCAGCAATATTATGACTTTGTTTTTCTGATTTGTAAGTTTTTTATATGCTATAAGAAGAGTCATTAGTTGTGAAACAACTGCATTTTAAAATTCGTTTTACAGTTTCGAAGATACTTGGCGTTCATTGTCAACTGCTGATCTGTCAAGCAACTATTCTGGTTCATCGTGGGTCTTAGAAAGTGGTACATCTAGCGATACTGAAAATCAAAATCCAGAAGTATGTCAGATTTCTTTAATGAAATGTGACCAACCCCTATCCTGTTCGTTTCAAAGTCCTGAAGATCTCACAGCTTCACCAACCATTAAAATGTCATATAATCAAAGGCAGTATCGTAAATATGATGAAGATGATGACACTTTACAGTCGGTTCCAAAACAGTGTAAGGAGGTGAACCGTTTTCCAGCTGCTACAATTAAGGATGAAGAAGAGGACACTTTGACGGGACCTGTCAACGAAGGCCGTAGGATTACGCGGCACTCCAAGTAGGTTTGAATTATTATACTATCACGGTCCAGTTTACACATGTATCTTTGGAATTTACGTTGTGTTTTATTGTTTTGGTATATACATACTAGAAGTGAGTTATTCATGTGATTATTGGATGATTTTGCTCCTGTAAAGTGTAATTTTGTCAACTAGATACTTTTGCTGGATTTAATGATTTAACCTACGGATAACGCGACTTAACGTTATATAAATCCAGCTACCTAAATTTTCCGTCGGTACACCTTTCATGTTGATTACTGTGCATATAATGTCAATTTTAATATCCGATTAAATCGCCAGTGTATTCTCAAGTTTAAAATCCAAATTTCTACCATTAGAAATGTAACTGATGATGCTTAGGCTAATCTTAAATTTTTTTCCTACTAAAGTGAGTGTTGATCTTTTCTTGCTGTTAACATAATTTTACAGAACATCCTATGGACCATCTCCAGATACTTTACACAGTGGATTAACAAATGATATGCATTCACTAGTTCCAGTTGGTCAGAAGCGATCGTCACTTCATCTCGGACAAGACGTGGCGTATAAGAAGACGGTAGATATTCGAAATTTTGGAGACTTTCCTCAGTTAAATGCACCTAGTAAGTTTTTGCGAGCCTATATATATATATATATATAAAGCTAAAATATGAAATAATGTGGGATACCAGCACTGATTTCTATAAGCCTATTCTGTGCTTATAATTGACTGGCTCCAGTACCAATTTTAAAACTATATTATTATTCCATAAGTTCATCCATGAAAAGTGTCTGTAGTAGGTTGAATTAATCTGCCATGAATTTTTAGTGAATTTTTACACGCATTGTACTTCTTTTATTAATTTTTTTCCAGCAATTTTTCTATTTTGACATCTACGTATAAAATCATTCTTTACAAACTTGTAATGAATGGAGTTCTTAGCTTATAATTCTACGCTAGTTACCTACTGTAGAAACTTAAAAGTGAATATTCTGGAAATGTAAGAAATGAAAACAATAACACTAATTCCATAATTGAATACGTGTAGGACTTCATTATGGATAAAATTTATTTTGACAAATTGTGCTCGAAACGCCATCAGTAAATATTACTGTATAACACTGTGGGACTTCATCGAAATAAATGTTATGGATAACAGAATTATACTCTACCACAGTGCCAAAGTTTTATCCTACAGATCTTAGTTCTCAGTATCAATACTGACAATAGAGTTTAGGCTTTGCTACAATTAAAACGCAGGTGGCTTAACATCAAATTTATCTGTTTCTGAAATGCGAAAATAATACGGTTTACATAAAGGTAAGAATACAGAAACGACTTTTACTCAAGGAAGAGCAAAAACATACCGAACGGTGTTGACGTGTAGAACAAAATGATCAATGAATCGCATTTACATACAAATACGAGGACAGAATACAACAGCCATATAAAGTCAACGCTGATTAGTGGGAGTGTACATTATGACAGCGATTAGTCACATAACAATCTCAACTGACAGGTTTGGGTCATAATGTCTTTTGGTGCCCTATCATACTGTCTGTCGCGTAGTAACACTACTTGCTGTCTAATTTTGACTCCTTAGGCGTACAAATGATCGCTATATTACCAATTTGTGTTATTTTATTACGTGAGTAGCATCTTTTACTTGATTCGAAAGATAATAGGAACGAAATTGAAAAGAAAAGAATATTAATAGCTGGTGGCACACAGCTATCGATGAGGTTGTTGGATGACTGGTTCACAAGCTATCTACAATTAACAGTTAGTTGAAATTAGTAGTTGGAAACCACCCATATCAGATAGTAGTGCTTGCCAGCCCCAACCTAGTACTACGCAGATAGCGTCGAACTGAAACAAGCGAAATGATTGATTAGTGCTTGGATTACCCTGACCTAGCTAGTAAAGATGAATGTTTGGCTTGAGTGGCTTCACACCACCCATATCGGCTTGTGGCGTATACCATCTTGTTACCTTTTTTTGTGGCATCAAGCAAATCCTATGTCGCGATCTGGATGTTTGTTAATGCCCTATCTACTGTTGAGAAAAGACTAAATCTATTGTATTAACAGACTTTTATATAAGCATAGGTAAATATATTTCGATCTTACAATTCATTCACCTCGATCCCCTTATCTCATTTCTCTAACAATATTTTCAAAAGGTATCGCTTCTCCGAAGAAACGCAGCAGACGCGAAAGCAACAAAAGGAAGTTTGAAAATCTACCTCTTTAATGTCACTTTATACCTCAGTGATATATACACCTAATGAGAGCCGTTTTTTATTTGGCACTTTAAATGAAGAACACAAACTTTATTGTTTGTTTGCATGTTATTCATCTCTTATGCACTTCTATCATGTTTCTTATATTTGCCGCATACAGTCGTGTCTGTTCAATAGACTGCTGCTGCGATTACTTTTTTAAGTTTAAAGAGAACTCAATATTTCTTTAATGCATTTTGATAATAATTTCAGTCATTCAGTGATTGGTTATTTTTGTAATTTCTTAATGATTCTTAGAAAACTATAAACTTAGGAAGTTTAAAATTATGTGTTTTCAAGTATGTACCATGATATGCATGTATGTTATCTCAATCAGTTAACTGTTTTTTGTATTAATATAAGCTTTGAAGGTTTTGCTGTAATTTTTTGCTAGCGCTCTGAAATAAGTAGTTAGAACTTGTTCATCGAGAACAAAATTTCATGTACATGTTTCTAAGTCATACTCCGAAGTCAAGGTGGTCATTAGCTGCATTTCGAGTGCTCGAACCAATGAGCTTCATCTCCCAAGTGTTTAGGAAAAATGTGTTATGCTACAAATTAGGAAAATTATCTCTTCTCTAATGCGTATCTTTAGTATGTTTGAGAATATACACAGAAGAATACGGCGATTAAGGAGTTTCGCAATAAATATTCGTATACACTTCTGAGCGTTTGCGTCTCTTATAGCTTATCTAAAGAGATAGGCAGAAAAATAGTCGGTCCCTTAGTGACAATTACGCGAACATTCGCTTGACTTGTCACCAACATTACATCGATGACAAATTGTACCTTCGAACTACATATTGGCATATAGATACATCCAACGTATTGGTAAATCTAGTGTTCGTATTTGACTGGCTTTCGGCATAAGAAAATTATAAATTCAGCGGTACTGGTTATTTTTATCTTGCTTGTCCCCAATAAAGTAGTTCATTTTTTATTACTTAACTGTGCACTAGATGGAAAGTCGTCGTTCTTCACAATTAGAGAAAAGCTTTTTGCTCTGGCCTTACACTATTCAGCTGTCATATATGTAGTTTTAAGCCGGTTGATGGCTGTGATATTGTATGGTCGACATTAGAGAATTCTAAGATGGTTATTTCGGATATCCGATGATAATTTGGAACAATTGAGAAAGGCTGAAGTACTTACAATAATACTGTAGATAACCACTAATTACACTAAACAATTATTTACCGTGTGAGATTACTGTAATCACATACGCGTATGTCCAACAACTGTTCCTCCAGTGTTTTCACAGGGGAAATACATGATCGTCGTACATTTTAATTCATACGTACACACTTAAAATATTGAGGTGTAGTGTGTACTATTCTTTTATTCAGATAGGGGGACCACTGCATTGTATTTTATTATTTTTCTATGTAAGCTTTTTACGATAAATTGTAGTTACGACATCATTCCCATTCTATTTTTAAAGCAAAACTCCTACACATTTTAGACAACCAGTAAAATCTAAGTAAATTTTCGGAATACAACGTGGAGACTTCTGTGTTATGGAAGTAATCGGGTCACGTGAAAAGCGGTATAGAAAAATCATCATGCATTGTTGAGTTCGTAATAGCAAGGTAGTGAACCAGATGATGATGACGTTTCAGACAAGCAAACTCTTGAGATTACTGCGTAGTGATGAAATACTGTCTGTCTCTCTCTGGATTCAACATAGAACTTGGCACCGAAGTGCAGCTGTTCGAGTTGCCACGTTCCGAATAGCACACAAAAGTAGACAAGAGGATGAGTGAAGAGAATCAATAGAGTTTGACAAGTATACGAGTGAAACAGAATGGGTAATGGTAGAAATGAATATGTAAGATTACAGAGACTGAATACATCTGCGCCATTGACAACGATTTTGAGCCATGTCACGTATTGTCTCCAGCCATTGATTCTTAGAATCCCGAGGGCCCCAACCTGGAAGTCTGCATCTCCCTACCTGACTCAGTTTAACTGTCAAGGATTTCATGGATTGATGAGGTCATGTTTTTGTTTGGCCACCACTTACTCTTTTCCAACCTGCACCTATATCAGCTAGTAATGCACGTCGGGGGAGGTGATGGTAAGGCATGCGCAGCACGTGACCTAGCCATCTCAATCCATGTAACTTTATAACCTCGTCGATTGATTTTCCCTCTTTGCCCAACACTCTACGCCTAACGTCAACATTACTTACCTTGTTAAACCACCTGACGTGAGAAAGAGATCGCAGACATCTATGATCGAAAGCAGTCAACCTTTTCATGTTTTCAACGCGTATTGGCCTTGTCGAACTCAGATATGCGTTTAGCTAGTTCTTCCTCAAATAGGGATTTTATTTCCTGATCGAGCTGGGGACGTGATGGGTTTACCGCCAGCTGTTTCCTACGTCCGTTCAGTCGTAAGCACACACGAGCCCGGACCAGTGCGTGATCGGTATCTACACACGTGTTCCAGAAGGAGCGACAATCTCCTACCGACCCACGCCAACGATAGCTTATTGCTATGTGGTCTATTTGTGTCCAGCGTTGGTTTGATGATGGGGGTCGCCAGGTCAAACAGTGTCTCTCCTTGTGTTTGAAGTTAGTGCTTACAAGAAACAAATGATTATCTGAACAGAACTGTAGGAGACGGTCACCGTTGTCGGTTCGCTGGCACGGAACTCCATAGGTGCCACCGACATCCTTCTCAGATTGACACAATTTCCCTACTTGAGCATTAAAGTCACCAGCTAGAACGACTATATCTGAGCGTTCGGCCTTTCGCAGCAAACCAGACAGCTTTTGGTAGAACTCATCCTTCGTTTCATCCGAACTGCAGTCAGTGGGGGCGTAGGCGGAGATTACGAAAAGGCATCGGCGAGTAGTGCAGTCCTTTCTCCTTCTTACTGATCCGTTCAGACGGACAGCACACATTCGGCTATCTACCGGGATCCAGTCAAGTAATGTCTTTTCTGCCCTAGTACTCAAAGCTATCCCTACGCCAGCTAATCCTCGTGAACTAGCTGTGGCATCTCCTGACACCCTCAAGGTGAATTTTGAAGATTCATCCTGTTGGCCAGGTGGGGTTAGGTGAATAACCACACTTGGGTCTTGTATGCGTGTTTCTGAAACACAGCATACATCAATGGCTCGTGATGCCAGGGTCTTGGCTAGTGATGCTTGTTGTCCTATTTGGCAAAGTGTCCTAACATTAAGAGCTCCTATATGAAATTGGTGGCGTGGCTTTAGGAGACTATCGGTGGTTTTTTGGCTTCCGTCGTTTTTAGTGGACACAGAGTGAAGAGGGAGTGAGTAGCCATCAAGTAGAGGAGTTGTATCAGTGTGAGGAAGGCAATGGAGATGAAGACAAAGATAAGTGAGGATTAGAGAGGTTTTGTGTGCATTTCGGATTGTGAGGGCGATTGTTACTTCCCGGCTGCCCACACCGTGGAAGTTGGTTGCGTGACCGCAGAGCCCAGGGGACAACTGCTTGAGGCCGGTCACACGCGGCCTGTTTTTGTTTGGTGTGTCTCAGTAGCATACTTATCACTCCTGCCCTGTGACACGGCAGCAGGAAGCGCGGTCGTTGTTAATCCGGGCCACGGCCGATCCGGCATGATATTTTGTGAATTTGTTTGAATCATGGTATTGGATGGGGTAGCTGCTTTTTGTTTAACCGCTATCCAAACAACCTTCCTGGCATGGTAGAACCTCAAGAGACATAAGTCTCAGCCAGTATAGCTTGATTAGGTCATTGCGGTGTTTAAGCCCGACCACCACGTCAAGGTAGCAGCTTTCGGTCGGGTGATGAAATACACCTAACGAACACTAATGTACATGGATTATAGTATGTTTCAATGATGTCGAATATTATTAAGTCTTTAAGTGATATGTATCGCTTTCAAGATTGGGTTTTAGGAGCATGTATTCTAGCATCTAACTGAATAAGTGTTCAGTCGATTACAGGCTATTTGGTTTCTGTCGAGTTCCATTTCGTAGCCATAGTTAAGATTGTGAGTGCCAGGACATTGGAAACTGACTAGCTTTATGGCAACATGATTTTATTTCTTTATTGGAAAAATAAAGTCCTTTTCTACGACCACTTGAAACTTCATGGAGTTGACAATGAGCCACACGTATAGTATGAGGGTTAGTGATGCTACGTGTTTGTCAAGACCTGTATTTGGGGTGGGATCCGAACTTCTAACTCACCGGTTGGAAGTTTAGCGTTTCTATGCAGAAACCACAGTTGTAGGTTCTTTACCTGAGGTTAGGAGGTGTGATTGTTAGTAGGGAGCGAAAATTCTACTTCACTGTCATACCTCAGTTGTGTTTCATCCATTTGTGCTCACAGACAAGATTAGATATCCTTAATTATCTCTGAATATGGTTTATTGGATTCCGCTGCCTTTTCTGATTAAGAGTTGTTTGAGGTCTTTTGAACCTCACTAAACTCTGTATTGACTGTAACTGTTTGTTCAAACTGAGAATAAGTAATGGGGAAGGCTACCTGAGCTGTTTTTATAAATATCCTCCTCATTTTTACTATTATCACACTTTAACTTTCGTCCAGTCCTTGATTATATTCAAGAAAATTTTGGTTTTGTAAACAAGGCGTTTTGATCAACTTGAACAGTGGTATGTTATTGCCTATCACCTCTACCTTCTTAATTGTCAGTGATATCTATTAACAATCTATAATAAGCGATCAGATGTAATTCCTTTGGCTGATATTGTGAGGGCACAATTCCCTATAATACCAACACGGTCGAAGTATGCCGTATAAAATATGCATGCAGATTGACCTACAGTCAGTATTAATTTATACATGTAAGGGTATTTTTTTTAAAACAAACGACTAAGCAGTGATACAACCAACTCATTCTGAAGCTACACCTCTCCTGAAAAAAAAGCTACATTCCAAGGACTCATGAACTCAGCGCCTGTAGATGTTTCAGGGTTTACTATGTCATTCCATGCCTTCTGTAAACAGTAACGAAAGTTACTCCTTCAAAGAATGCCCACACTTAATATATTGCAACTTGAAAGTCGTTAACTTAGATAGCGTTCCTAGTCCGAACTGTCAAGCAGCTTAATTTTTTCGATAACGAATTTTTTCAAGCGCAATCAAATTCAAGTATTAACAGTCTATTGCACGAATCGATTGTATAATCCTTAAGTTTAGAAGTTATTCAACCTCTGTGAACTTCTAAAATATTTTTCTATGCTCTGAAGGAATCTTGAATCATAATAGTCAGTGAAATCAGAATTCGGAAGAATGAATGGTTTGTGCCTCTGTTATGGTTTTTAGACAACAGATAATTACTAATTCCCTGGACATACGTTTCGCATGCATATAAAATGCCGTGGATTACTGTTCAAGTGATGAGTCAGAA